CGCTCTTTTAATTTCTTTTGGATCTAATGGGGGCTGAAAATCATTAAGGGGCGAAGCAAGATTTCAGTGATGTGTTTGCACTTGAGGGCAGGCGGTGGGAGGATCGGTTACTGTTTGTGTCCTTAAAAAACAGAGAGGCATGAGTCGTCCAATTTAAAATTAGCTTCTGGATCCAAAACAGAGATCAAGACGGGCTCTGGCTGTCACTGGACACCGGATCAGTACGGGCGCTGCCTTGCATTACTGTCGTGGAGCAAGATGAGGGTTGCACAAATAGGATGCCTGGCTTCCCTGTATAGCAGGCTTTTTTATGATGAATGTAGAGTCCTAGAAAAATAGGAGTAGAAGGGGTCCCAGACAGGATCACTCCCTCTCTAAAACACCCCAGAAAAATGCATTGAATCTGTGCTTTAAAGCTCCCAGAAATGGAGATCCTATGACCTCCAGGGAACCTGTCCTAAAGTATAACCACCTTCATTGTTAGCTGATCTAAATCTCCTCCACTGCATTATATTTGGACCTTTTACTTCTAGTCCTGTCCCCTGCAAACATGAGGAAAATGTGACTGCCATCCTCTTGGTTATAATCTTCTGCAAAGACAGTCTCAACGTGCTGCTGTGACTGGCCCCATTGCTATTGAGAAAAAGCCCTGCCAGGGCCCACATGCAGAATTGGGTTTGCTATCTTGTGGTCCCAAATCCAAACCTGGCATTTGGATACTTGGATGCAGCTCAGAGCTGAATGTCATAGCTTTTCAGGCCTGGTTTGATTTTAGGGAACTTGCTGCCATGGCTAGCCCAGCACTGGCCTGACCATGCTCATTTTGTTCTCAGATCAGTGCGTTATCCGTAGGTCCCTGATGCTGCAATACAGTTTATTCAGCATCATTCAGATTTCCAAATGGGTTATTTTCAAGGCTATCGGTAAGAGCCGCTTCAGTACTCAAAGTCAGGAACTCCCAGCAGTCATCATACTTAAAGGACCTGCACTTCTACACCTTGTACACCTATTTTGAGGGGCATGTTTCATTGCTAGTTCTTGTGGCGTTAGCTCCTTCAAGTTCAAAGTGGGGTTAAATACTAGTAGCTTACCCTTCCTCTCTCTCTAGTGCAATTTTTCTGTTCTAGCATACGTAGTGCCCTTATACATTGCTGACTCAGTTTGCTATACATAATAGTTGTGCTCTGAGGCTCTTTGATTTGGACATAGCTATTCTTAGAACAACTTCTGTAACCCTAAGTGAAATGCTGTCTTGTGTGAGAAGAGAGGACAGGCGGCAGAAAAGGGGGTGGGCAACGAGAACAACCCCGTGGCATGGCAAAGATCCAGACGTGGCAACGTCTCCTATCTCGAGTACTGGATTTTGCAGCGGTGGGTAAGCCATGGGGTGTAACACAGACAGGCGTGCCCACAGCCCCAGGAGAGGACAGCTGAACTGGCAGGATGACTTGCACCGCAGCAGCCCCAGGACGAGATCACTGCTTCTGTGGAGGACAGAAAATAAGTTCATGGACATGCCAGTGGCATGCGGTTTCCTAACCCTCCCATTTTAGCACCTCAGCTTGCAAGTAAGCGATCGGGGATGGTTAGAAGTCGTTTGTAGCAGCAGTAGGAGTAGATTTTAAAATTATTTAAGCAGATCGACAGCTTTTAAACATTTATAGGCCAGGGAGCCAGTGTGCAGGGTTTGGCAGGTTGCTTTCTTGGTAAGGTTACCAAGGTTGGTGTGATGCACACGATACCTCTGCTGACAAGCAGTGTCAGCGCGGGGTAAGGTGGCACTGCCAGCGTGTGCACTAGAAGTCTTATGATAGGGGTGCCAGGAAACTTGCCGTATAGGTTAGGATGGTAACAAACCCACGTCCCCTTAGGGAATGTGATGGCCAGCATTGTGTTACCTGTCATAGGGACAGCACTTTGGCAGTGTGGGTAGATCATGCCACCGCCAGGTGAGCTCTTGGAGAATCTGTCCGTGTTTAGCGGTATGGGGTCTCTGACACGTTGTTGCACAGTTCTGAATCCATTCAGTGAATGCCAGTGGTGCACGTGCATCTCATAGCATCTACTACTAGGACTCATTGAAAATTGGCAAGGCAAAGCATGAAAAATCCAAGCAAAATGGCCAAAATCTTGCAATGTTGCTTCATGGAGCCGCTGTATCGCACTTCTGAGGACTTTACAGAGCCCACCTCCTTGCCCCTTGGAAAACCTCATTTCTGTACTGAAGCCCTCCCTCGAGCCACTCAGCTGGGCTTGCCGATAAGCGCTCAGAGCTCCCTGCACCTGTTCCTACCGCCCAGGAAAGCCTAGGCCAAGTCTGGCGGAAATGGAAAAGGCAGTCACATCTATAACTTGCAGGGCATGCGAGGTGTCTGAGGAGGAGCTGGCTGCCAGTGGCTGAGTGAATTTGCTTCTACACTGAGACCGGGAATTGGGGAGCCAGCTGCCAAGTCAGTGTTAAGGGATGGGCCTCCGAAGCCAGGCAGTGGACTTAAAACAGGAGGTTATCATTGTCATCGTTCATTATAATGCTAGTAGGAATAAGAGCAGGGCTTGGTTTGCCTTCTGGGTTCTAAGCCTCGGATGTGCACTTGCTAGACAAGCCTTTCTCTGCCGTCGTGAGAGGTAGAGACTCACTGTTTTCAAAAGACAGCTGAGAGGCTCATACAGTGCCCTCGTTGCAGCTGCTGGGGTGTTTAGGGAAGCACTAACATGCACAAAATTGGTGCTAAAGGCATGGGATGTGGGAGCACGGCAACCTCCCATGAATGCTGGGGTTTCCCCAGTGGGTTATGCTTCTGGGCTGAGCACTGGTGAAGCCCTTTGCTAGTCGCACCCATTTGCCCATGACTGAATGAAGAGCATCGCAGAGGCTGAAAGAGTAAAGCCCTGTGGCTGATGAGTTTGCGCCAGGTATATTAGATAGAAAAATTCCTCCCTGAGTCTCCTGAGGAGGAGCATGGTCTCACCCCAGCCCCCACAGACACTCCCAGCTCTGGGTGAGATCACGGTGCTTTCGGCACTGCCCCGGGTCTGTATTTAGAGATTTCCTCTGCTGACCCCCAGCCCCTTCTGCTAGCTTGTGGGATGCTCCAGAGATCAAAAGACACCTGCATCCTTTGAAACTAGGTCCCTCACTTTCCACGAGACAATGCAACAATCCCAGTCAGGGGCTTTGGACAACCCGTTAGATGTGCACCGGTCTGTCCAAACCAAGCCAGCAATACAAAGCAGCGTGTCTCACTAGCTTGGCAAAGGCATGCTGGTTTCTGCAGCCAATGGCACACACCAGAGTGATGTGGCCAGCATCACATCCTCTTGTCTTTGCCTCCCTGGCTTGATGAGCAGGTGCCCTCTCACAGCTAGGTCACAGCCTTTGGCAGGAGTCCGAAGTCAGGCTTGAACTCACAGCCCTTGAGGTGCAGCCAGGCATCCTCGTGGTTGCATTCCAGCATCCTGCGGCAGCACTTCAAAGACAAAGCATAAGGTGCCGGAGAGGAAACGTGAAGGAGTTGGAGGGAGATGAGATGGCCTGCTCCACGCACACCCTGATGGGACTGTTGCCTTCTTCATTGACTTAATAGACTGGCACGCTCCTGGCCTGCTGATTGATGGCCTTGTCTAGGCTGGCACTGAGCCTAATGAGCCGAGGGAGGGAGGCACAGGGCCTCCATGAGGAACACGGTGGCTTTGTACACGCACGCGCACGTCGTGCTTGGCAGCAGAGCTCTCCCAACGCAGCCGTGAGCTTTGTCAGACATTACTCACAGCCGCTGCGAGAGCCCCAGAGAAACGCTGTGAGCCACGCAGCAGATGGTCGGGGGCTCGGAGAACCTGGGGAGGTGCATGGCAGAGCGCTGGGCACAGCTGGGCAGCACAGAGGGTGTTTTTCCTGCATCCGGGGTGATGCGTGGTGGCGCAGCCACGAAGCAGGGCCCTGGGGACGTTTGCCGCTTTGTAATCCCAGGGAAAGGCATGGACGTGCATCCGCTCTAAGCCTCCCAGCTGCTCCCCCAGCTTCTCCAGCCCTCGCAGACGCTCTCCTGCTGGAGGGGGGCTTCCGCTTGCTGCAGCTTTGGGTTCAGTTGCTGGGGTGCAGTGCTACCTGTCCCCTCTTCATCTTACGGTGGGCTCAGTCAGATGCCATTGAGCGATGCCTTTCAGGTTGGCCTCTCTCAGATGTGCCTTGGAGGCACAGAGCCATTCTGGTCCTGCATCGTGTGAAGAGGATGCTTTAGGAAGGGGCTTTTCCACCTGCTCTGTG